GTACTGAAGACCGACCCCTTTGTTTTCTTTTCCAATTGTCAGCGCTATTTTTACCGCTGAAAAGCTGCTGCGGTCCCCTCCCCTGTTGGGCCTGCGCATATATAGTGGCTGGGGCAGGCGGGGAGGGGGAATCCTCATCTGGGTTCCTGCGGTAGGATCCGGAGAGGCTGGGCCAGGACTAGGGAAGTCAAGATGCTGGGCTGGATCAAGCTTCCCTGACCCACCCCTCTGAAGCCTCATCTCATCTGATGTGGGGAGCTGGGGGTTGAGCCCAGTGGTTCCCCTGCCTGCCCAGCAAGTGCAAGGTCCAGAGTTCGATTCCCCAGCCCCCCCCCCCCAAAAAAAAACAGTGTCATTTGATAGGAGAACAAAAACACAGATTTTCAGGAGGAGAAGCCAGGCAGCCTAGCCAAGGAAAGCCTTGGGATGATAGGGGAGGTCTGCCTTCCGCGTGGTCCCTTGGGGCCCAGTACTCTGCTTGGGACCCGAGCCCTTTGTCCCCAGCCCTAGTTCTCAGGAAGGAAGCCTGTGAAGGTGAGGTGCTACCCTGGTGTGCCGCTGGTCCCCATGTTCAATATCTAAGGAACATAACTACTTCTTTCCTTTTCTTTTTAAATTTTGAGACAGGCTCTAGCTAAATCACTAAGTCGCCCAGGCTAGACTCAAACTTGCCATCCTCCTGCCTCAGCCTCCCAGAGTGCTGGGATTACAGGCGTACACACTATGACCAGCTCCACTTGGTGACTTTTACCTCTGGCCGCCCAAACCCTGCTTCTTTGTAGCTGGGGCCAAGCCCTGTGGATACTGAAGGTGGCAGTGCCCGCAGGGTCCCAGTCAGCCAGCATTGTTAGTGAGGGGAGGTCAGTGTAGTCCCTGCTTCCCAGTGCCGCCCTGGTCAGTCCCTGACTGGGTGGAACACCCCACCTCCAGCTAGGGCCAGCTAAGACACCCCCACTACCACCCCGGTGCCCCAGAGCCTGCCCAGGGCCTAGACCCAACTCCAGCCCTTCTCTCTGCAAGGATTTTCCCAGCCACAGCAGCAGCAGCAGGAAGAGCAAGAGGGACAGGGCTGGGGACTCATTTCCTGCCTCCCCTGTGGGACAGAATTCTTTCACATGGGGACAGCCACCCACTTTGATCCCCTGACGGTCCAGGTGGTATGGAGCAGAAATGGCCCCCTGCTGAGTGACGGGGCCCTGCACTCCCCAGGAGATGCCTCCCCGGGGATCAGGCAAGGCCTGGGCTCTCCACCTTCCATGAAGGCCATAGTAGAGTAGCAGGTGTGTTCCCGCCTTCACTCCTGGGGGAATGAACAGTTGCTGGGAGCCAGGCCTCCCTCTGCCCCCCAGGAATGCCTGTGCCAGCTGGGGACATAGCCCTGGAAACCAACACCTGGGACAGCCTGCAGCTGGCAGCTTGCTGGAGGGATACGGGGATCAGGGGGACTACAGGAGCTCAACGCAGATACCGTGCTAGCCTGGGCAGGGGACAGAGGGAAGTCTGGGAAGGCTTCCTGGAGGAAGTGGTCCATGACATTCATGACTTTGACAGGTGAGGAAGGTGAGCAGGGCTGGAGGAGGGGCAGAGCTCATCAGGGCCTCGGCCCCCAACTCGTCATTTTCATGGACTCCGGATACCACCCCTAACTCCCAATGTCCTGTAAGCCCTGCCACAGCCATTGCTCAGGCTGCAGGGTAGGAGCTTCTGTTCTTTGCAGGCCCTGCCTCCTGGAGGAAACCTCTGCCCTGAGTTGTTTGAGTAGCAGGCAGGGGACTTCAAAGAGACTCCGTGGTTTGGGAGCTGTGGGATACTCACTGGCTGTGTCCTCCTGGTCAGTCTTGCGGTCATGACTGTCCTAAGGAGAGTGGGGATTCCCATGGTACCCAATGGCTCAGAGCCTTGCAGATGATCTCCAGGAAGTGGGGCAGCTATTTTTACCTGGCATTTAATTACAGGGCTGGGTTCCCAGAGGAGACACGAGCTGGTGTTCCCGCGAGTGGCACAGGGAGGGGTACAGGGGAGCAGGGGATCCTGGAGGACAGGTGAGGGCACAGGACCCTCCATTTTAGTCTCCTCTCCCTAACACAGTTGTCCCTCTAATGGGGTCCCCAGCACAGGGCCACATCTTTCCTCTTATTCTCCTCTGGTGGGTTTCACCTCAGCCAATGTGAATACTGGTCGGGCCTGTGCCCCAGGGGTGATGGCTCCTTTGGGAGAAGAGGGAGAGTCCCCAGGTAACAGGTGGGGCACACACCAAGTAGTTCAGTCATCCCCAGGGGTGAAGGAAGGAAGGAGCTGCTTGGTAACAAGCAGGAAGCTGGGGTGAGGAGACAGCAGGGGCCTATGGGCTGGGATGGGAATTCTGCAGGGAACAGTATGTGGCCACTGTAATGGAAGGAAGTTCTGAGGACACAAGGACTTCAACAATGGCACAAAACACCAGCAGCTGCCAAGCATGGTGGCACACACCTGTAATCTTAGCACCTTGGGAGGCTGAGATAGGAGGATCATGAGTTCAAGCCCAGCTAGGCAATGTAACAACTTAGTGGAAAGGCCTGAGGATGATCTATCTTAGAGCAAATGCCCTAGGTTCAGTCCCTGAAAACACTGAAAGAAAGGGGCCCTACTTGACCCTCATGTTATAGCAACCTGAGAATCCTAGACCTGTCTTGTCATTAAAAAGCCATGTGTCCTCAGGCCCAATGCAAGGGCTGAGGCAGTGACAGCTGTGACACACCTGGTGTGCTGAACATATTCATTTGTTCATTCTGTCAGTGTTTACCAAGCACCTGCCATATGCTCTGCACTGGGGACACAGCCACACTCAACACAGCACTGTCACGGGTCTTTCTGGGTTCCCAGCCAGGTTCACACCAGGCTAGTAGATGTAGATCAGATGGCGATGGGCTTGGCAGAGAAAAGTGAGCAGGTGGACGGGTGCAGAGAGCTCTGGCCATGGAGGGAGTGGGAGAATTAATTCATCTCAACAGATCAGTCAGGGAAAGCTATGGGACAAAATGACACTTGAGCAAAACCCCAAAGGAGGTAAGGGAAAGAACATTCCAAGCATGTGCAAAGGCCCTGGGGTGAGAGGTCCAGCTAGCTTGCCTTCAAATGGCAAGGAAGTGGGTGCGGCCAAGGAGGATGGCAGGACACAGTTCAAGGGAGATGAGTGCCAGTGACTCGAGGTTGTGCAGATCATGGGAGCACTCTGGCTTGTACTCTGAGAGTAATGGGAGCTGTTGTGGGATTCTGAGGGAAGAGAGCTGATCTGCTTTGTGATTTAGAATTGACAACTGGGCTCCTGCATGGAAAGCAGGCTTTAGGGGGCTGAGATCAAAATGGGCAGTACAAGTGAAGGAGCTGTGAGACTGATAAGCAAGACACTGGGAGGGAGGGGAGACAGAGGCCTGGGCTGTTTGCCTGTTTCCCAGGCAGAGCCACCAGGGCTGCCCAGGACTTCTCCCTGCCCACTGGACTCTCCCACCGCCTCATTGGGAATCAAACCCAGGGCTTTTGCACTAAGCAGTTACATCTTCAGGTCTCTTTGTTTGTTGTTTGTTTGTTTGTTGTTTGTTTTGTTTTGTTTTTTTGATACCTGGGATTGAACTCAGGTCCTTGCACTTGCAAGGCAGGCCACCAAACTGAACCGCTGAGCTAAATCCCTGGCCCTTGTTTGCTTGTTTTTTAAGACAGGGTCCTGCTAGATTGCCCAGACTGAGCTTGAACTTGGAATCTTTGTGCCTTAGTCTCCCAGAGTACAGAGATTACAGGCCTGGGCCACCATGCCCAGCTTCTACCAGGTTTGATGGATCCTAAGAAGAGGTTGGAGAGGGAATTAGGCCACTGGAGACGCACAGGGACCCCACTTGACCTCTGCCAGCTGCAGTAAAGGCCTGGGTGTCCCTGGAACTGATCTCTGGGTGGCTCCCCTCCTGTGGACCTCAGGCTTCTCCCTTCACACACGTGGCACAGTGAGAAGGGATAGAGGGGAGCACTGACTGAGGTCCCAAAGACACCTGCTCTTCTCCCACAGCCAAAGGGGACTGCGATGGGACGGGAGCCATGAATGGTGCCGCCCCCGGGCCTAGCCCCGCCGTCCCTGCTCCGGTCCCAGACTGGCGGCAGTTCTGCGAGCTGCACGCACAGGTGGCCGCCGTGGACTTCGCACACAAGTTCTGTCGCTTCCTTCGGGACAACCCTGCCTACGACACTCCTGACGCCGGGGCCTCCTTCTCGCACCACTTCGCGGCCAACTTCCTGGACATCTTCAGAGAAGAGGTGCAGCGGGTGCTGGTGGCCGGGCCGGCATTGCGGGAGACAGCGGAGCACGAGGCCATGGAGCCCGAGGCCTCCGCACCCCCGACCCTCAAGACGGCTACCTGCGGCCACTCCCGCAGCTCGGAGGATGTGTCCGGCTCTGCCGCCAAGACCCGCGCCCGCAAGGGCTTCTCGCTACGCAACATGAGCCTGTGCGTGATGGACGGCGTGCGCGACATGTGGCACCGCCGTGCCTCCCCGGAGCCTGATGCGAGTGCCGCCCCCCGGGCCACCGAGCCCTCAGCAGAGCCGCGCGACAAGTGGATGCGGCGCCTGCGGCTGTCGCGGACCCTGGCCGCCAAGGTGGAGCTGGTGGACATCCAGCGCGAGGGTGCGCTGCGCTTCATGGTGGCCGATGACGCAGCCACGGGGCCCGGAGGCACCGCGCAGTGGCAGAAGTGTCGCCTGCTCCTGCGCAGGGCCGTGGCCAGCGAGCGATTCCGCCTGGAGTTCTTTGTGCCACCCAAGGTGAGTGTGTCGCGCCCCTGGGGGATATCGGACATGCACTGCAGAAGCTGAGGGAGCTGGGGACTAGCTGGGGGGACCAAGTTTCCTCATCTGGGATGGTACAGTCTTTGGTGTGGGGAGCCTTCACTTCTCCTGTGAAGTGGGAGATGAGATCCTGGTGTGGTGCTACATGCCTGTGATCTCAGAACTCTGGGAGGCTGAGCAGGAGGATCACAAGTTCCAGCCCAGCCTGGGTGACAGCAACTTATTGAGATCCTGTCTCAAATAAAACAAAAAAGGAGCCAGGGATTTAGCTCAGTGGTTCTGCTGCCTGCCTCACAAGTGCAAGGGTCCTGAGTCTGATCTCTGATAAAAAAAAAAAAAAAAAAAAAAAGGTAAACAATCAAATGAAGCGAAAAAGGGCTGGAGTTATAGCTCAGTGAGAAGGAGTGGGTACAGGAAAAATTCCCCCATACTGGAAAAGAAAAAAAAAAGTGGTAGTGGAGGGGGCCTTCTGTCTACACCAAGGGGACCTGGGTGTTATCAATGGTCATGAAGACCCCACTGCTAGCCCTCCTCTACCCCTCTTCACCTGCTGCAGGGCTGGCAGCTGAGGTCTGCACTGCTGAAGGTGGGAGTGACCAAGCCCAACCAGAGAGGGGTCCCTCAGAGGCCCGTGTCTGACTCCATGGGACTCTGCCCATCCCAGCGGCACCATGTGGCCCTTTTCCTGCTCACCCTCCTGGGCACTGGCCATCAGAGCCCAGGTGCAGCCTTGCACCTTCTCCAAGAAGGCAAGCCTGCCTTGTTTGAAAAGTAGAAATAAGCATCTCACTAGCGGCCACTTTCCAAGAGCACGCCCTGTGTCCAGCCTGGAGACCCAAGCAAAGTGGGCACATGAGTGCCAGGTCACTGAAGAAAACACTGAGTACTCAGACAAGAGTACCCAGGCTGCCCTGGCTGCCCAGCTGGGTTAATCAGAGCCACCAGCTCCTGGTCTGGAGAAGGAAGGGAAGTTGGGCAGTGCAGCAGCTGACCATGCCCCAGGGGTTGCTCAGGCTCTGCCTACCCTAGGCCCCACCCACTCACAGCACTCTCCTAGCTGTGCTTCTTATCTTTTAGGAGTTCACTGTGCCCCTCCCTGCCTGCCCTGTGTAGGGGTCTGGGCTCCCAAAGCTGGTTGCCTCTGATCCCTCCACATGGGCCCTAAAGCAGTGACTTCCTGGGAAAAGTGCTCTGAAGAGCTTTCTCCCCAAGTCCTGGCACCCCCAGACTTCTCAGGGGTTCTTTGCCTGCTGGCTACCATACTCAGGTCCCTAGGTCTGCTCCTGGATAGACAGAGACCAAGGCCTGGGGAGGAGCAGAGCTTACCCAGGGTCACCCAAAGGGCAGGGCAGAGGCCCAAGGCTTCACCACCTCCAGCCCTGAGTGGCAGTCACAGCTGCCAGTCTGTAAATAACCACATTTGCTGCCCTGGGGGAGGGGACACAGCAGCTGGTGTCCTCTCCATCGGTCCCTCCAGAGCCCACCAACTTCACTGCTGGCAGAAGGCAGGGTCCCAAGGGTGACTGGGCCCTTCCCCCACCTCTGAGGGAAGGCAAGTGGGTTCCTACCCATCTTTCAGGCCCTCCTTACTTTCATGCAAATACTGGAACATATCTTGGTATTCAGAGTGATCCTCATGGAAGCATAGGTCACACCACTGATATATTAGTCTATTTTCAGTTGATATAACAGAATATACCTGAAGCTGGGTGTTATATTTTAAGATAAGACTTGTTTAGTTCATAGTTTGTGAGGCTGAAAATCCAAGATCAGAAAACTCCAACTGACCCAGCGATTTAGCTCAGTAGCACCATGCCTGCCTCACAAGTGCAAGGTCCTGAGTTCAATCCCTGGTACTGCAAAGAAAAAAAAAAGAAAAAGAAAACTCCAAGTGTTCTGTGTCTGGTAGGGTCTTCTGGGCTTGTCACAGCATAGCAGAAAAGGAAGAAGGACAGATGTGTGCAGAAGAGTGACCCCACTATAAAAACCCACCCTCAAGACTACTAACCCAGTTCCCCAAGGGCCACGTTGACCTCTTCCCAGGGCAGCGCCCCTGTGACCACCTGCTCTCTACTATGCCCCACCTCTTAAGGGTCCTTACCACCTCTGAATACTGCCAAATTGGGGACCAAATCTCCTCAACGTGGACCTTTGGTTGTCCCAAACCATTGCACGTAGTAAGGGCTCAGGGAAGAGGTTTCCAAATGTCCCAGGGGCCTGGCCTCTGGGGGAAGGGGCCCCCAGGGGCAGCTTGCCAATCATCTCTCCACCTGTTCTCCCACCTACAGGCCCTATCTCTCTGGGCCCCTTGGAGCAGTCAGGAGCTTAAGGACGAACTCAGGGTCTTTAGGCTTCCTCTCCACAGCACTTTGGGTCCCGATTCCAGTGAGGTATCTGGCTTCCAGCCCCCTTCTCCCTGCAGGAATAGTCTCCTGAACCTCAGGTCCCCTCCTAGCCCTGTGCCAGCCCTGCCCCATCACTTGAGGAGCCACCAGGAAACACAGATTTGCAAGACAAGTTGCAAACCTGAATAGGGCAAGCTCAAAGGGGTCGGGGGCCTGGGCTGTGTGTTTAGCAGGTGGCAGGGACAAGGCTAAGGACGGAAGTTGGAAAGTGGATGCAAAGCCATGGCAGGGACAGATGAGACCAGGACATATGACCCTAGATGCCAGCCCAAGGAACCACAGCACCTGTGGCCCACAGGAACCCAGCTGAAGGGCCCCGGCCAGGCCTTCACCTCTGTCTGCTGCACCTGCCCCTGGCCTGTGGTTCCCAGCCAGCTGGCTGCTGGGATGGCCTCCCACCTGCTCAGCCAGGCTCCTCAGTCCCTGCCCCAAGCCCAGCCCTGTTCCTGCTGCACAGTGGCCAAGGCTGCCAGGAATTCCCATCTGCCTGCCCACCAAATCCATGGCTCTTTCCTTTCCCCTAAGAAAGTCCCTGTCCCGGAGCCCAAGCCTTGCTGGGAATCCCAGTCCCAGGCCAACCCCAGGGGACCTCAGGGCCATGGCCAGGAGTTTTGGGGCAAAGCACATAGGACTGGGCACAGAGTGGCTCCCAGCTGATTTACCTTGGTTCAACCTTGCAGTGTCACTGGGGATACCAGTTCCTTTTACCCACACCTGGGCCAAGGCCCTGCTCAGTTTAAGTCCCATTCTGAGTCAGGAGGTGTACTCCGGAAAGTCTAATCTGAAGCAGGAAGCCAGCCTTTGTTTCCTTTTTTTAAATGAACTAGAATAGAGTAGAAAATATCACACTCCATCACACACACAGTAAGAGTAAATATTGCCCAGTGAAATGATTGTTTCAGATATTTTTACTTATGTTGGTATGCACTGGGCTGCAGTGTCAACTATGTATATTTCTTACCATTGGTTTAAGTCAAAAATGGGAAAAACCAAGCAGAGCATAGGTGTACACTGTGTCATCGTAGCACTCTGGGAGGCTGAGGCCAGAGGATGGAAAATTTGAGCCCAGCCTGGGCAACTTAGAAAGACCCTGTCTCAAAATAAAACAATGGAAAAGAGCTGGGGATGTAGCTCAGTGCAAAGGCATGGGACTACAAAAAGAAAAAGAAGGCTGGGGATTTAAAAGCTTAGTGGTTCCACTGCCTACCTCAAAAGCGCAATGTCCCGAGTTTGATCCCCTTCCGAGTTAGATCCCTGGTACCAAAGAAAAAGGTCTGCTGGTGCACTGGGCAGAGGGCTCACAGCTGGAGCTTGCCCCCCAGTTTGGTCCCTGATGCTGTGTGACCAAGCAGATTCTCCCTGCTCAGCCTTCCTCAGCTTCCCATCTGTGAAATGGGGGACAGAACAATGCTCTGCTAGGGAGGTCCCAGAGCCTAAGCTGGGGGCTGCTGTGATCTCCAGAAGGCGGAGAGATGACCCTCTGCTCTCCCTTCCTCTGGCCCCCAGGCCTCCAGACCCAAGGTCAGCATCCCCCTGTCAGCCATCATCGAGGTCCGCACCACCATGCCCCTGGAGATGCCAGAGAAGGACAACACCTTTGTGCTCAAGGTGAGGCCCACCCTGCCCCGAGGTCCTCTGCCCACCGCCTGCATCCTCCCTCCTAGGTAGCCCAGCTGGAGGTCATCACAGGGGAGGTGGGAAAGGAGGGAGCCCCAAGATCCCACGACAGATTGATGTCTGGCACATAGCTAGGACCCGAATCAGGGTCTGTGCTCTGGAAGCATGTGCCCCGAGTGGCAGTGGCCATCTAGGACCCTGTTCCCTTTTCCTCCCGCCCTGTGAAGCTCATCAGTTTCACTTCCTCCTCTCCCTTCCCCAGAGGAGCTAGGGCACACCCACCCCATGGGCAAGTGCTGGCGGCCAGCTTGGAGCAGTTATGCAAATGGCCCTGCAGCAGCGGGGTGTGGGAACAGAGGGCACAGAGCACTGCGGGTGGGTGAGGGCAATACCTGGGGCCTGGCAGCAGTCTGTCCTTTCCCAGGCCCTGAGCCCGGGGTGGCCTGCAGGGGTGGCTGAGGATGGGGCTCCCAGCTGCCTCCTGGAAGGATCAGCCGGTGTCTGAGGGCAGAGTCCCCAGGGAGGTGGTGCCTACTTCCTGGAAGCCGCAGGAAGCCCCCACCCTCCTCCAGGCTGTGGTTTCACTCATCCCTCCCTATCATGCAGCACAAATTCACTGATTCACTGGGCAAACATCTGCCATTCTGTGCCCTGCATTACCTCAGGCGGGAGGCTGAAGACACAAGTGCTGCCCACTTGTCATTCCCATCTACGGGGTGGTCCCATGTTGCTGGTTATACTTGGGAGGCCTGAGGCACAGGGACAAGCTTGCTGGCCCCACTGTGGGCCTGTTTATCCATCCATTCAGAGAAGGGTTAAAGGGGGTGATCTGAAGATCCTCTCAGCCCAGCATTGCTTTTGGACAGAGGCACAGGATAGGAAATTGACAGCATGAGGCCTGGGAACCCGAAGACTTGGGTTCAGGTTCCAGCACTGCCACTGGCTGCTGTGTGGCTTTGAGCAAGTTACTTGGCCTCTTTGAACCTCAGTCTTCTCATCCCAAAAGAGGGTCAATAGATCAACCTCTCCCAAGCCTGGTACAAAGGGCTTGGCTTGGCTGTCGTGGTAGAGTTCAGGCCCTCTGTGTGCTGGCTCCCAGTTGGCTCCCCCTTTTGACTTGGACCCCATCTCCAGGTGCCAAGGTACTGGCTGGGGATGCTGGGTCCTTGTCTCTCCCCCAGCCAGCATGGTCTCCCCTGAGGCTTCAGTTCCAGGGAATGAGGGCCTGGGGTCTGTGGGTCTGGGACTCATCTGTAGTGTGGGCTACAGCCTGGGTTCTGGGCAATGCCCGATGGTGACCTTTGTCTCCATCTCTGAGCCTCGGGGAGGGTGGGATGGGCCACAAGAGCCATTCTGACTCCTATCTGGGGTCTCGAGCCCCTGCTGAGGGTAGGGGAGGCTGGAGCATGTCCGAAGTTTGGATGCCCAAACACCCACTCCAGGTGGAGAACGGAGCTGAGTACATCCTGGAGACCATCGACTCACTACAGAAGCACTCATGGGTGGCTGACATCCAGGGCTGCGTGGACCCTGGGTGAGTGACCACGTGGCCTGTGGTAGAGGTGCAACTGGGAAGTCCTTGGTCCTGCCCTCAGGGAACAGCTCATCGTAGGCTTCTCACTGTCCTGTCCAGCCCCAGTCCCACCCCCAGCCAGCTCTGTGAGGCCTGCTCTGCAGGGCCAGGACCTGGGGACCCCATCTTGCCTTCACTCCAGGGAGCTTCAGATGGCTAGAAGGATCCTGTGATGGGGTGAGCCCCCCCACTACTCTCCCAGCTCAGGGAAGGCCTGCTATAAAATTGCTTACCTAATTAAAACTTAAATGAAGAGTAGGCCTTACCCAGGCATGATAGTGCACACCTGTACTCCCAGCACTCTGGAGGCTGAGGCTGGAGAATCACAAGTTCAAGCCCGGCCTGGACAATGTAGTGACTTAGCAAGACCCTGATTCAAAATTTTAAAAGGTCTGGGAATGTAGCTCAGTGCAAAGTTCCTGGGTTCAATCCCCAGTACACAAAGGAAAAAATAAAACAAACAAAAAAACCAGTCAGCCTGAGTAGGCCAAAAGGCAGTAGAGAAGGGCAGAAAGAAAAGCCCAGCAAAGGGTGTGGGTGTGTCCCATGACAGGACACAGCTGTCCTTTCTCTACTCCATAGTGACAGCGAGGAAGACGCTGAGCTGTCCTGTGCCCAGGGAGGCTGTCTGGCCAGCCACGTGGGCTCCTGCAGCTGTGAGCTCCTGACAGATGGTAGGTGGGGACAGAGCTGGCCGGGGGCGTGGAGGACACGTTTGGAGGAGGTGGACAGAGGTGGTCAGATAGGACATGTTGCTCACATCCTTGTCTCTGACAGCAGACTTACCCCAGCCCCCAGAGACACCAGCACCTGGTGCAGTGGTGACAGCCCCATACAGCCGTGCTCGAGATGCCCTCGGAGAGTCCCTGCCGCATGTCCCGCTAGAGACCTTCCTTCAGACCCTGGAGTTCCCAGGCACCAGCAGTGGTGACAGCAATAACACAGGTACCAGTGGGCAGCTGGTTTTTCCTGCCTTCCTCTCCTGGGTCCCTCACCCCAGCCACAGGGACTCCTGAGTGCCTCCAGAACCCTTGCTGGGCCCCAGACATGGTAACATTTCACTCAGCCCTCATCGTAGTGTGCCACACTCTTTTTTTGGCAGTACTGGGGATTGAACCCAGGATCTTCCCACTGAGCTAGATCCTCATCCATTCATTCATAT